TATAAAGCACATATAAATGTCTTATTCTGCGTGACCATATTTTAGATCCCTCAATCCACCCCATATCTAAACTTAACAATTACATTACCATTAATAAGCAGCAAATTAGAAGTTTATTGAGGCAAAAGATGTAGTTAATAGTGAAAACTGGTCCCCAAAATAAAAGTGTGACCAAAGTTTGTGTGAATTTTGTGGATGTGTCCCTCCACAACGTCCTGTTTAAACAGCAAGTAAACACAGTACATAAAACTACTATCAAACAGTTTAACGGGTCTTTATACAGCACATAAATGAATAATTAAAACTAGATACAGTCAGGAGATAAAAAAGCTGGGAAGAGCATCCACAGGAAAACATCTGTAAACAAAAGCATCCCATTTATCGTCACACACTGATATGTGTGTGTGTGTGTGTGTGTCTGACTCACGTAAGTGTCTCTGATATCCTTCAGCTGGTGGTCCAGGTATTTGGTCAGCTCGTATGTTCTCTCTATGGAGCTCCTCTCATGGGACAGGACGAGCGTTCGGTCCAGCACCTGAGCGAACCCAACCGCAGCCAATAACAGCAGCAACACAGCCACCTGATCGACTGAAAACAGGGATTTAAGTGAGAATGCACAACTGATAATTTCATGTCTTGCCTGGAGCATCTTTGCCAATTCATTTTGGGAAATGCTTTAACTTAAAAAAACTCAACTGAGGACTGTGATATTGTTTGAGGAATAACAGCAGGCAGAGAAAATCTGTCTGTAATCAGCTCCGGATAAATGTTTGGTTTATAAGCGTTCACACAAATGATGGTGTGTCATTTTTGTAATATGGTGGTTTTAGCTGTAATTTTTTTGAGGTATTCAAACTAAAATAGTTAGTTTTATGTTATATTTTGATTATAGAGGTTACAATTTCATGCGGCTTTATCTGGCACTGCTTCTGCTACTGTCTCTGGTAGAGTTTGTTTATAGAGATAGAGAAGTTCTGCACAGGATTATTAAACGGATTTATGTTCATGGGTCACAAAAGGTTGAAATAAATTTTACATACAGTATATTATACTAATAAGTTTTCATGTATCTCTACTGCTTAAATGTCCCTTTACAATATTTTTTAATGCATGTTATTGTGAGCAATTAATTCATGCATGCATTTAATGAAAAAAAAACTGTTTTTACTAAATTTGTGTTTTAATCAAAATATCATAACTCAATATTCCGATAAGTCCCCGCCTTACTTTCTTTTTCTTTTCAGTAATCTGTTTCACTAAGATGTATGTCACAATAAGGAAAAAAAGATCTGTCGCTACTTACATTTCATCATGACTTTATGAGTATTAATGAGATCTTTTTATGATAGCAATGCAATACAGTGGCCCCAAATGTGTTTGAATTCATAATTTAACATCGTCCAGAAGTCATGACATAAAAAAAAAAAAGTTTTGCAATTGAATTGTTTTTCTCAGAGCTATTTTTGCAAAGAATATATTTTTGCATATCATCACATTAACTATAAACAGGATTCAAACAGAAACTGTTTCTAACAGTGCATCTATTCTTTTAATCATTTGACAAGTAACAGTTCTGTGCTTTTTTTGTTTTTGAGCTCAGGGGTGTGAGTGTGTGTGTGGTCCTCTGCTCTGGGACATGCTTTTGGAGTTTGTGTGTGTGTGTGTGTGTGTGAGTGAGTGAGTGA